CCCCCCCCCGTTATCTGTTTTCCTATATTTCTGGGTTTCTCTTTTAAGTATTCCTTCTAGAATTTAACACCAATGAGAAGTGCTTAATAATTCATGGGGGGATAGCATTTAATTCTGTGTAAACTACAGTCTGTTGGCCAGCTGCCTGCTTTGTAAATAAAATTTTACTGAAACATAGCCATGCGCATTCACTTACGTAGGGTCTGTGGCTACTTTCCAGCTGCAATGACAGTTGAGTAGTTTCGACAGAGACAGTGTGCACCACAAGCCTAAAATATTTACTCTCTGGCCGTTTAAGGAAAAAATTTGCTGGCCTTTGTGTGAATGTCACTCCTAATCGAGTCTTTCTGTGGATTATAGCATTCCTAGTTCTCCCTCATGTAGTTGGTAGTTCTCCAAAATTACCGCCTTGTCTTGTTGTTTGCTTCAGCCAAACTAAATTGCCTGTAGCATCTTCCCTACTCCCTTTCTATATACAGTATCAACATCTTTCCTAGAAAGCCTGGTTCAGATACTGCCTTTCATGAAGCCTTAACTAATTATTGTACTTGGAAAAACCTACATAGCATTTCAGTTTGTTTCCTCTCTTTCAAAACACAACTCGAACATTTGTATGACGTTCTGTGCTCTTTATCATTTACGTATGTGTTTATTCCCACTCTTAAACTTGCTCTAAGGGAGTGATTTTTTTTTTTTTAATGTGTTTTTGTATCTCCACATAGTGCTTAGACACTGAGTATATAAAATATATGTAAGTGTTGGCACTTGTGTATTTCTCTTCCAAGGTTTGTGGTGATTATTTACTATCTAGAATGGATGTTACCAGCTGCATCTCTTACCGAAATTTTGCAAGTTGTATGGGAGATGCCCGTTTGTTGAATAAAGTTGATGCTTACATTCAGGAGCATTTGTTACAAATTTCAGAAGAGGAAGAGTTCCTTAAACTTCCACGGCTAAAGGTAAGTAATGAACTCTGTAAACAGAATTTTACTCTGTAGCTCAGGCAGAGAACTTTGTTCACGTTTCAAGGAAATGAATAATGTTTAGGAAAAACTCATTGACCTGACACCATTATATTCAGCAATGTACTGGTTTCTGTGTACCAGTTTGTTGACTTTAGTTGTTCTTGTGTTGTGTACTGGTTTCCTTACATATAAGAGTAAATGTATAGAATGCAATTGGGCATTGATGATAACTTTATTATGAAATTGAGTCGTAAACTAGGAATTAGAGGCTCAACACTGATCCATGTTCATTGTGCTTCCCCAACTCTAGCTGGAGGTAATGCTTGAAGATAATGTTTGCTTGCCCAGCAATGGCAAATTGTATACAAAGGTAATCAACTGGGTGCAGCGTAGCATCTGGGAGAATGGAGACAGTCTGGAAGACCTGATGGAAGAGGTTAGTTTTTAAGTAAATGGGATTCAACAGTTCTTAAAAATTATTTTGCTATAACATGAAGGATTCCCTTTCACTTTTATTTTGTAACCTTGACCCTAAAGAATTTAAATTTTGCTATAGGTACCCCTAAGCTGAGAAACAGGGGGGGTGTCCAGGTGAGCTGAATGAATTGTTCAGTTTGGTCTTCTGCTTTTCTTTTTTTATTTCTTTGCTTATTATGTGCTGTTAACTTTCTTTAAAGTAGCATGTAATTTGCTTTAGAAATGGGAGGTGGTACTGAAATTTTCTGTAGATTCTTAATTTTTCTTCACAGGTTTTTGCTTTAAATTTGATAAGTAGGTAAAAGCTTCTAATGGTTGTTCCTCCCCATTGATTTATCTCCCCATAGGTTTATTAACAAAACTAGGATACCCAAGACTGAAGAAACCAAGAAGAAACCTCCAGTGTATTGACACGTAAAGAAGCAGCAGTCCTGCCCCAGTTCTCCTAAGAAAAATCCGCTGTGGGCAGAGAACGATGATGATTTAATGGTGTTTACTCCTTTACAGGATTCTTATCTTTAAAGCTTTGTGATTTTCAATGGTGTTATTCTTATATATAGCCACTCACTGAACTCGAGCTACCTTTTAAAAGTACACAAGAAAAAAAAAAATGGTGGAGAAGTGGTGGAAATTAAAAATATGCAGGTGGAGCCGTGAAGTAACCTAGAGTTTCATCACTCAACTTACAAGCCTTTCAAAAGGGTTAATGATTTACTAACAGATAGTAAATCTGTTAGGCCTTTAAAAATACTTTGTCATTGTGTTCTATAAGGCTAACAGGTGATCCTTAGATTCTAAATCATTTCCCACTTAAAAAGCAGATGCATTACTTTATTTGCATCTGCAGAGGGAAGTATTTCTACAGCTTGTTTGGATTGTTTTTTATCTGTTTTTCTTGGTATTGCCTCTTCTGCCCAGGAGATAATACTTTTATGAAAATCAGACCATATATCTTCAATAGTGTAAACCATATTCAGTATTTCATTTTTTATTGTAAATATGTATATTCTTTTAAGAGTCTGTATATTGTATTAGTGCCTTTTTTTAATGTTACATAATAGAAACTGTAAAAAATGAAGATTTCTTTCAAGCCAATCAAGCAAGCCAAGGATTCTTCAGCCAGTATTACAAGATTTTGTATTTGATTTTGTGTTTTTAATTTTTACCACCATGACATGTGTTTTTCTTTGCTCCATGATCCTGCCAGAGTGAGATGTCAAGAAGCTCCCTGGAGGTTACCTTGAGGAGTTTGTGTAATCTGCATACTAGTGGAGTAGCCTTGGAGACAGCAGCCACATGGGTGTTCTGTTGCTGTTTTGCAGGTTCAAACCTTGTACTACTCAGCTGATCACAAGCTGCTTGATGGGAATCTACTAGATGGACAGGCTGAGGTGTTTGGCAGTGATGATGACCACATTCAGTTTGTGCAGGTACACAATGCACAGTCTGAGGTAACCTCAGGTTAAACTTGAGTAGAGAATTTTATAGCATACTTAAATTTTCCTTTAATAAAGGAAAGTGGAAAAATCTCATTGGTATAACTTGGACAGAAACATTTTCAAGAGAAACAAGCATACCTATCTTAGGGTTACTAGTAGGTCTGCCACATGAGAAGAAATTACCTCAACAAATTAGGGTACCTCATTTAAGTTTTTTCCGTAAAATAGAATACAAGTAGTAATAAGAAAAATGGACAGTAAGATGAAGCAGTGTAGAACTTACTTTAGGATTTGATTAGTCTGTGACAGAAATGACTATTAGATCTAATTTTAAAAAGGTGTGGGGACTCAAAATTCTTAATGGTTATGAAAGGAATTTTAGGTGTTTCTTATGATGCCTTAGTGTTTTGTTGTTTTTTTTAATTGGAAACAATTATTATTGTTAAGTTGAATTATATAAAGTAATAAAGTGGTGTAGTTGATCAGCTGTTAACAAATTGATGTAGATACTTGTTGAGCAAAATGAACTGAAACAATGTAGTTCCATTGTGCTGAGAAGCAAATTACTTTGACTTTTATAGAATCCAGTTTCATTTTTACCCTACCTTTAGAGGATACCTAAATAAACAAAAACACACAACCAAATCCATGGCCTTTGAATGCATTCTGACTCATAGCAACCCTGTAGTACAGATTTGCCCTGTAGGGTTTTCAGGGCTATAAATCTTTATGGAAGTAGGCTGCCTAATCTTTCTTCTGCAAAGCAGCTGGTGGTTTTGAACCACCAACCTTTCAGTTAGTGCCAAGAACTTTATTATATCTATAGTGGTTAAAACACATAACTATTCAAAAACGTTATCAACTATATGAGAACAAATAGATATAAACTTTTTAGTTTATGGACAAATAACATGTAGAAAACTATGTTCATTGTTAAGTGTCACAAAGTGAACCCACCAGTATAATCATGGTTAAGCCATGAAGAGATTATTTCTAGCATCCTGGAAGCCCTTCTCTTGTCCCTTCCCAATCTTGCCATTCACTATGCCAAAGAAAGCCATTGTAATAACCTCCAACACTATCCCATACTGTGTTCTGTGTTTTAACACAGTTTATCTAATATCATGAACTAGTTTGCCGCTGTTTTATGTAAGTGGTGATACAGCATGTATGTATGCATTTGTGTCTGGCTCAGCATTGTATTTATGAGTTGTTGCAGATTGAGGGGTGTTTTTAATAATTAGAAGGTAATTGATGCAAGTAGTAACTTGTTTGGTGAGTGCTTAACATAGTGTTCTATAGCAATAGTGGCTGAATATTTTTAGGCTCAAAAAAGTTTTGGGTTTGAATTAGTTGAGAACTTTGTTCATGTTAATGCATTTTGAATATTTTGTATGTTTTTCCTCTTAACTTTAACATATAAGTTACTATTTTAAAAGTAATTTTTTATAAAGCAAAGGTTGAGTGGTATGTGGCAGACCATGGTTTTATGTGGATTCAAAACATTAAAAAAAAGGGAAATTTCAGAGAAGATGACATATGTAAAGTATTAGGATTTAGAGGGTTTTGCATGGCAGATGGAGAGAAATGTGTAAGATAGCAAAGAATTTCTGTGGAAGGAATTGCAAGTGATGAAACTGGGGAAATAGGTAAAATGCCACATGAAAGGGGCTTCACTTGACTATGAAGGTTGTGAGGAAACTTCAGAGAATTTTATACAAGGGAATAGAGTGATATGAACAGATACATATTACAACATTAGTAATAATGGCGCACTGGGCAAAACTTTTGAGTCCAGCAATAAGGAGAATGGTTAAGCTATAGTATTTCTGTACAGCGAAGATCTGTATGTTCACTGATAGTGAGATTTTAAGATAGTTAACTGTTAGGTGGCAGTCTTTGGGTGGTGGGATTCCAGATGATTTGTAATTTTTTTTTTTTTAACTTTCCCAAAATTACTGAACCCTTTCTATTTTTATATCCAAGTCAGAAGGTGGATTATAGCTTGTGGGGACAATGTGTAGATTTTTACAAACAGCAGTTATGGTGAAAAAAGGGGTTTGACCAAAAAGCATGAAGGAGAAATGATGGATTTTAGACTATATTTATATAGATTTAGTTAAGAGGCCTTAGTGATTATTTAGGAAGATGATGGAAAAAGAATTTGTGGGGTTCTGACATGTGTAGCTCATTAGAAGGTGATTCCATGAATAGAGATCATGAAGTGAAAAGACAAAGAGGACACACAGTTAGGTTTCAGAGATAGAGGAGGAGGTCGAGAAGCCATTTGAAAAGCAGGAACAGTTAGAATTGTCTTATAAAAGCTACCTACAAAAGGAGAAAAAGTTTTAAATGAAACTAAATTATCAACTGTCAGATCTTTCTCTGGGAGGTCACATAAAATAGAATTAGGGATGTTTCTTTTATGTTGGTTTTAGGAAGTCACTTGATAACCTTTAATGGATTCAGAGAATATGGAGGATAAGAAACCCCTTACCTTGAGAAGTGATTGTGACTGAAGAAGACGACATAGTCTGTAGCGAATACGCCCGATTGGTAGCCAGAGGCAAGGAAGTATGAGCCAGTGGATAGCCTGGGCAGGAGGAACTGATCTGGGAAAGGTTGAAGATGATGAAGAATTAAAAAGGGTTGTGTTTGAAGATGTTCCATAAGGAATATAAAGGAGTTAGCTAGCATTTTTCTATATAAGGCTTGTTAATTATATAGCATTAGTAGGTGCTCATTGTTATTAGTCCTTTACTCTTTCACGTTTTCTTTCATTCACAGAAAATATAGTTTTCTTCAGTAATCTCTTAATGTAAGCATCATCGATTTTGTAATGCTTTGAATCCTTTCTTTCCACAGATTGGGATGTTTTATGTATTTTATATAATTTCTAGTAGCAGAGGACACAGTCTGTCATAGTATAAGAGGGGAGGGGAGGCTTTATACTCAGCTAGGATCCCTAATATTTAGTATAGATTTGTGGCCTTAGGCAGTGCATGTCTTCTGAGTTTCTTTAAATCTGTAAAATGGATAGGTAATGCCCCTCACATGATTAAAAAAGAATGATGTGAATAAAGTGCCTAATACGGGTAGGGACATAATAAATGTCTAAATACAACTTAATAACAACCAGTAACATGGAAATTACTTGTTTTCTCTTAAAGTAACTGACAGATACGGTAGCCACATTTGTTGAATGGCCCAGACCAAACTTTTGAAAGATTTTTTTAAAAATAAAAAAGAATATATTCGAATAGCTAACAAAATCTTTTTTCCTGTTACTTGTTACATGATTTTTTCCTTCTGTTAGAATCAGAAATTTTCATTAGGCATCTTACCTGTCCACATGTTTTGGTTCTGGGAACCATAATGAGTGTATGAGCACACTTGGCTGGGTACACAAGGCACTGTCAGTTTGTTTGGCAGTTTCTCTAAGAATATTCTTGACTCTTCCATATCATACCTTTTGGGAGTGGCAAGGGCTAAAGTAATTGGAAGAAACCAGCTCTTACGCGAGCAGAGTGCAGCTCTCACAGTCATTTGAAAGTGGGCAGCTTTGCTTATCTCTTCCTCTTTTAGTCTTCCTGTATCTTCTACTTTTATGAGAGTTTGGTACTTTCAGTGTTACCGTTTAATTTCTGATTACTGTTTTTTATTTTTGTGTTTCAATGTACTTATATTTGTCTGGAAGACCACTCTATAATATCTGTAAGGTATCTCTAAAGAAATAGAGCCTTAAGTGTTTCTTATAGTTGCTGCTTTTGTCTTGTATAAAATATTTCCCAAGAGATTGGATGAGTCTCACTTTTTGCTGGCACCGTATAAAAGATACTAGTACATGTGGATTAGATTTGACAGTTTCACGAAGACTGGGTAAATGTGTATTCTATTCTGTAAGTTAATTCATGCCATTATAAAATTTTTAGCATCTTTTGAAAAATTCTATACTTAATGTAAACAGTATGGGAGTTGAAGTGGATTATGAGGCCTTTTTCCTTTTTATTTTTTTTCCATTGAGATAGCATGGTGATACTTGATCTGCAGCAAGTTTTTTGAGTTGTTGAAATTGAGCTTTTCTGACCAGATAGTTTGTGTAGGTTAGTTGTTTCATTTTTAAGTGGAAATGGAAGTATGCTAGTAATTTATATAGCTGGAACATGTTGGTTTGTGTTAAATTTACATGTGCCATAAATGTCATATGTAGCTGAAAGATGCTGTTTTTTTTTTTTTTCAATGCTGTGGAATAGCTCAGAAACAGTGGTACGTCAGTGTATGGTCTTCGGCTAGGTTTCTGTAGCTACCTTTTGATTTTGCAGAAAAAGCCACCACGTGAGAATGGCCATAAGCAGATAAGTAGCAGTTCCACTGGATGTCTCTCTTCTCCAAATGCTACAGTACAAAGCCCTAAGCATGAGTGGAAAATCGTTGCTTCGGAAAAGACTTCAAGTAAGTCTTTGACACTTGCCAGATTGTCTTCTATTTATTGATTCACTTACTTATAAGAAGAAACACTGTGCCAGAACCATTTAATACTTAATTGGCTACTTGAGGGAAAAAAACTGAGAAGCAAATTTAGGAAACAATGGCAGATTGTTCAGTCTGGGATCTGGAAAATGTGGAATCCAATTCGAAATCACGCAACAACCAAAAGTAATAATAAGTGCATCTTAAACGTAGAATTCTTGTCCTTACAGATAATACTTACTTGTGTCTGGCCGTGCTGGATGGTATATTCTGTGTAATTTTCCTTCATGGACGAAATAGCCCACAGAGCTCACCAACAAGTACTCCAAGACTAATTAAGAGTTTAAGCTTTGAGATGCAACCAGATGAGCTAATAGAAAAGCCCATGTCTCCAATGCAGTATGCAAGATCTGGCCTGGGAACAGCAGAGATGAATGGCAAACTTATAGCTGCCGGTAAGAACAGTAAGGATGACGGTTTCTTATCAGAAGATTTCAAATGGCTAAACCTGAAAATGGGTGTTGACACTTACTTGCTTGTGATATGCAAACTTTGAAAGAGGAGGTTTGTTAGGCCTTCTTTGTTGGCATTATTATCACATTCTAAGAACATAGGGAAATGACAGGTGAATGGAATTGTGTGTGCTTAATTTTCAGGTCAATGTCTGTCTGCAATTGAAAAAAAAATTAGGAGTTTTGATTTCCAAGCAACAACTAACTAAGTGCTTTATTATACTGATACTTTTTTAATTCTTAATCTATAACATGTGCTTATAAAACAGCAACTGAATCCCTAATAAGTTTGTGGAGAGAAGGGCTTTTTATTTTTAATTGTGCAGATCACTTAAAACCATACTAGACAGGAAACCCTGGTTCAGTTTAGTATTTTAAACATAAATCTTCATTGTTCTTTTACCAGGTGGCTATAACAGAGAGGAATGTCTCAGAACAGTTGAATGCTATGATCCACATACAGATCAGTGGTCCTTTCTTGCTCCCATGCGAACACCGAGAGCCCGATTTCAAATGGCTGTACTTATGGTAAATATATTATGTTACAACTCATATTTAGCTTTTTAACGTAGTTTTAGAATGGTGGAAGTTCTAATCAGACTGTTGCCATAGGGCCAACTCTATGTGGTAGGTGGATCAAATGGCCACTCAGATGACCTGAGTTGTGGAGAGATGTATGATCCAAACATAGATGACTGGATTCCTGTTCCAGAATTGAGGACTAACCGCTGTAATGCAGGTAATAATGCTTCTGAGATAGCTAATATTTAAATATGATAATTACCAATATATAACGTTCTTTTATACTTTCATAGGAGTGTGTGCTCTGAATGGAAAATTATACATTGTTGGTGGCTCTGATCCGTATGGTCAGAAGGGACTGAAAAATTGTGATGTATTTGATCCTGTAACAAAGTCATGGACAAGCTGTGCTCCTCTTAACATTCGTAAGTTGTTTGTTTTGCTTTAAAGTTGGTTAATAAATAACAAAGACCCTTGAATCAGCAGGATGTGTGCTTTACACCTAGTTTTGAGAGATGTAACAGTTTTGGTTTGACTTGATTTTATAGGTAGACACCAGTCTGCAGTCTGTGAGCTCAGTGGTTATTTGTACATAATTGGAGGTGCGGAGTCTTGGAATTGTCTGAACACAGTAGAACGTTACAATCCCGAAAATAACACCTGGACTTTAATTGCACCCATGAATGTGGCTAGGCGAGGAGCTGGAGTAGCTGTTCTTGATGGTGAGTATTGGGATTTAGGGAGGCAAGGAGTACTTAGTGGAAGCGGTTTTCTATAATTCTAATTCGGTAATAACTACAGATGATCCCCAACTTTGAATATATGAACTGTGCTTAAAAACCATCTGTTTAATGTGGTTGCTTGATTGTTTTTGTACATGTTCTCGTTAGTAACATGTACAGCATACAATGTTGCAGTGTGTAATTTGCTGCTGTTCTTACCAGGTATTCACTTTAAGATGTTCATTGTAGATAGATCTGCTATTCAAAACAATGCTATATAGCAGGCAGTAATGAAAACTGAAAAACAGGTATTTGACTTATATCAGAACTGACTTGACAACAAGAGTTGTTGGAATAAAGCCCTGTCCTCTAAGTCAGATACCTATATATACTTACATAGATATGAATTCTGAAATAGCCCTCACTTCTGGAGCTTTGCTGTCCATTAAGAGTCTTTTCTACTTAGAGATTCCTAATAAAGGATACATAGCTTAAATATATGAATGCACCAATTTTTTGATGAGTTCACTAAATGAAGTTGTCATTTACTTCCATAAGCCACACCCATAATGCAACATCTTGAATTCTGTGTTTCCGTATCTTTAGAACAAGAATTTAAAGATAATTTGCAAATCTTTCTAACCAGAAGCAGAATTTAAAACTATTTTAACAAGTCTTTCCAAAACATTGAACTTTGTTTTATGTAGTTACAGCTTTCTATTCACATCTCTCTTAACTGATTTAAAGCAGCTCTGGTGGCATAGTGGTTAACAGCATTCCGCTACTAAGCAAAAGTTCTGCGGTTTGAACCCACCAGCTGCTCCTTGGGAGAAAGATGAGGCAATCTGTTTCAATAAAGATTTATAGCCATGGAAAAAACCCTATGGGGCAGTTCTTCTCTGTCCTAAAGGGTCACTGTGAGTCACAATTGACTCCATAGCAGTGGGTTTGGTTTTTCTTTTTTAAAAAACTAATGGTTAATTGTATAATTATAATAATGGAATCAGTTAGCTTTGTTATTGGAACAAACATAGGTTGAAATCCCCATGGGAATGGGTTTTTATCAATCTTATTGTATCCCCAAAAGAGCCCTGGTGGCACAGTGCTTAAGCACTTAGCTGCTAACTGAAAAGTTGGTGGTTTGAATCCACTAGCCACTCCATAGGAGAAAGATTTGGCAGTTTGCTTCTGTAAAAAGATTTGCAGTCTTGGAAACTCTGTGAGGCAGTTCTGCTGTATCTTATATGGTGAGAATTGACTTGCCAGCAGTGGTGGTTTATTTGGTTTATAATCCCACCTTTTAGAGTGTTCATACTTTTTGGCAGAATGAAGAGACATTTCTACTTAAGAACCATTGATTTTAGCAAGAGAATAGCTAGTTGTTGTTTTCCTTCTTCTTTCTTCTGTATTTTACTCTATTTATCCTGTTTCATTTCTCTTTCAGGAAAACTGTTTGTAGGTGGTGGCTTTGATGGTTCTCATGCTATAAGTTGTGTGGAGATGTATGATCCAACTAGAAATGAATGGAAGATGATGGGAAACATGACTTCACCAAGGAGCAATGCTGGGATTGCAACTGTAGGAAACACCATTTATGCAGTGGGAGGATTTGATGGCAATGAATTTCTGAATACGGTGGAAGTCTATAACCTTGAGTCAAATGAGTGGAGCCCCTATACGAAGATTTTCCAGTTTTAACAAATTTAAGATCCTTTCAAACTAACAGGCTTAGTGATGTAATTGTGTTTAGTAAAGGTACATTTGTGAATAAGGAGGGTGGGTGGGTATAGATGTTGCTAACAGCAACACAAAGCTTTTGCATATTGCATATTATTAAACATGCTGTATATACTTTTTGTGTTTATTTGGAAAGGAATGCAGAGATGAAGGTCTGTTTTGTGTATTTTTAGAACTACTTTGGTTTCTTTACTTTCTGGAAGTTGGTATTGTAAAAGAATAAACCTAGACTTGATTGGGCATATCATTTCAAGAAGTCCCCTCTCCTCCACATTTGTTCTGCCAATTTGCACATGAAATGACTGTTCCCTCAAATGTGTATCATGGGGCAAGAGGGAGGGAGGAAGGGGGGGTAGGGTTTTAAGATGTAGGCAATTGGGATTTTTCAGGGCCCTTTTTCAATAACTGGAACAATCTGTAACAAAAAAGACTTATTTAACTAGATGACAATGACTATTTTTGTTTTTATTAAAAGGAAGCTGATATGCCTACCAATATTTAATCTTTTATGATTGCATTTTTATAAGTTTTTATATTCTCAGCATAGTGTTTTATTCTGATGAAGGAAAACGTGACAGATTAAAATTATTGACGCACTAGAGGCAGTCTTAAAGTATGCAAAGTGGGATGAGTGGGAATGTACACTTCAAAGCATTTTCTTTGGGTTTTTTTTTTTTTTGAGATTATAGTATAAGTTTATTTGAATGGAGTTGCTGAACAGTAACATAGCTTTGATTTTTTTGTATTTGAAACACTTGATTTTAAATATTTTGACTTGAGGGTGTATTTTATATAGTATAAAACATTTAATATAACTTTTATCTTCTAAATCCTGTTTTTATTGTTAACAACTCTGTATGGTAGCCCTCGGTTGTGAAAAAAATTACTGGGTTTGTGAATGTAGTCTATATCAGAACTATGTTTTTGTTCAGTTTTTCTATTCAACTGGATAAATACTGGTTGGGGTGACTTGGTGTCTAATGTGTAATGCTACACATCTAACTTCTGGTGCCAAAATTAGCACGTCCTGATGCTTGCTGCTGATGCAAACACATTAAAGGTACTTTGCAGGAGATCCTTGCACCATGAAATTAACATCCAAATGTTGTTTGTGTACTCATTCACTACTAAAAGTTTGGGGAAACTTTTTTCCCCAGTAATGATGAGCTTTACTGGAAACTATTCACTTTACCCTCGATAGGTGAGATTTTTTTTTTTCCTCATAGAATACAAAGCACATAGGAATGTAATAAACCAACTGGGATGATATGGTGACTTCACTGGCTACCTTGAGTAAGGAAAGGTATTAGGTGTTTTTCCCACAGGTACTTTGCCACCTTACTTCAAACACCAAGAAAGAAAACTGGCTTAGTTCCTCACTGTCCATCTATACCTGGTTTGTTTGGCTCTGGGCTAAGACTAGGTGAGCAGATTTCAGTTTGCCTACCATGATGGCTGTTTTTTAAATGGACTATATTATGTCCTATTTAAATCAAACCAATCTCACTGCTGTGGAGTAGGATCCGACTCATAGTGTGACCCCTCCTTGGTTTTCCAAGGCAATATCACTATGGAAGTAGATTGCCCAGCCTTCCTTCTGGGGAGTGGCTGGTGGGTTTGAACCACCAGCCTTCCGGTTAGCAGTCAGTTTCAGTTAGAATTTAAGCAGTAAAATCCTTGAAATCACTTCTTAAAAACGACATGCTTGCAAATAATGGGACTATTTTGGGTCAAAGTTAGGTGATTATTGTTGATGTCCAACAAGTAATTTGGTAGCTGAAAGTTATTTTCTAAGACACTATTACAAGCATGTCCTATTTTACTGTGCTTTGCAGATACTGTATGTTTTTACAAACTGAAGGTTTATGGCAACCCTGTGTTAAGTCTGTTGGTGGCATTTTTCCAGTAGCATGTGCTCACTTCGTTCCTGTGTGTCAAATTTTGGTAATTCTCGCAATATTCAAAGTTTTCCATAACACTCTTATATACTTAATAGACAGTTGTTGTTGTTGTTGTTGTGTGCCGTCGAGTCGGCCCCGACTCATAGCGACCCCTCCTTGGGTTTCCGAGGCAGTATCACTACAGAAGTAGGATTGCCCAACCTTCCTTCTGAGGAGTGGCTGGTGGGTTTGAACCGCCAGCCTTCTGGTTAGCAGTCAAGTAGAGTGTAAATATAACTTTTGTATGTACTAGGAGACCAAAAAATTTGTGACTTGCTTTATTGCAATATTTGCTTTCTTTGGGGTGGTCTGGAACAGAACCCAGTGTGTCTCTGAGATACACCTGTAGAGCCAGTCTTGATGAACATCAGCTGCTATTAAAAAAAAAAAAAGCAGTGCCCGGTGACCAGTTGTTACTATTTATCCCCATCTAAAAAGTACGTTATTTTCTTCAAGAAAGGAGAAAAATGTATCAGTCTTAATTTAAAAAAAAAAAATTTCTTTTCCAGTATCGGTTTTAGAGTAGTTTTTTATCACTAGTAGTAATAGAACTTCTTTAGTCAATTTTAACAGTGCATAAACCATACTAGATTCCTCAAAGAATAGCAAAATACCTAAAACAACTTTAATTGATTAATAGTATGATTAGTTATAATTAGACATAAATTTTATTCTTTATTACGATTTTTAACATAGGGTTCTGATTTCAGGCCTCTAGTCTGCCCTATATACTTTATCATTGTTCAAAAATGTTTTATAATTCCCTCAATAATCTTTTTTTCAGGGGAGAGGTACTTAAGAGTTTGGGCTGTGATACAGTGCTACATCTTTCTGTAATTATCAAACCAGATGTGTAGCTTTATTGTCTCCAGACCTCAGAATCCTTGAGTAGGCAAAGGAGTCCAATAGGACTCCTTAGACCTGCCTTCACATGTATCAATGCCACAGAAAGCTCTGTGTCTATATTATATATTTGTATCTTGCTTTGTTCTGGAAAAATACTTGAGTCAGTGAGTGAAGTATGTAAGATAAATTAGGTGAAAAAGAAGGGGGAAACAAGGACGCAGCAATGTGAATCTTAAAGTACTTGGTAAGTCACAAATTTGTTCTTATAACAGGAGACATGTTAAGTCATGTTATATATCTCCTGTGTTAATCAAGTGTTTTCTATCTTAACCAAAAGTTGTACCAAGCCTTTAATGGAACAGGCTTAAAAAAACGTGATAAAGGATTTTGTACCCAGAATATAAAAAAACTCGGAAGATGCAACTCAAAAAATGGGCAAAAAATTTGAACAGACATATCACTAAAGATCAATGGATGCCAATAAAAAAAATGGAAAGATGCTGAACATCAGCTAGTCATTAAGAAGATGTAAATTCAGACCAAAATAACATACACTCCTACTAAAACTAATTCGGGATAGCAGAGCAACTGGATGGATTGCAGAGTACTAGAGTCATTTTGGAAAACAGTTTGGCAGTTTGCAAAGGAATAGGCTTAAAGGAGATTAAGATGTATGTTTTGTCAGAAGAAATCACATTAAGAGAACTGTACCTAGTCTTGGGATTCTGTAGTGAGCTAATGTAGTTCAGTGCCTTACAATTTGTTTACAGAGTTGGAAAGACAGGGAAAATGTTATAATTTGAAAAATAGGGTAATTAAATTGGTTCATAGAGTTTAAAAGAAAAAAAAATCCAAACTATTAGCTGGAGTTTGGGTGTCAACTGTTTAAATTTCTATGTTCATAACTTACAATTCTGTTTAAAATTAAAAAAAAAATCTGCTTTCAGCAGGACAGAATTAAGTCCTCTCCCTTTCCTGAAGCAAGAAAAATATGTTTTAAAATTTTAATTCTTTGTAGCTACTTCTCTCACTGTGCCTTAGAAAACCCGGCTAAAACTGTGTGCATTAAAGTAGACAAAAACAAAAGTAAAAACTGCATGCTTTGCTTTTTAGGATACTTTGTTGGAATACTACTTTTAGGTGATCAATTATCCTGGTATTAAAAATTCTTCAGAAGGAAGTTTTTTAAATTGCTTCTTTGCTAAGAACAAGTTACCAACAGAGAGGCATCTTAGTTTCGCTAAGTGTCCTGAACTTGCCAGTCCAATCACATGTACCAGTCAACTTGAGGTGTAATTCTGCTAAGAAAGAAAAAAAAAAAAACAGTCTCCGTTAGTTCAGAATATCCATTATAAGAATGCTGGAAAAGATGGGGGTTAGATACAATATAATTTTAGGGATGTCTCCCACAGTGGAGGAGTAAAAGTCCTCAGATTTATTTTGTGCTAGCATTCATTATCTACAATCTGTTAACTAAGACATTTCCCATTTCAATTAATAAGACAAAAGTACCCCCCAAAAAAACCAAAGTCGCTGCTGTTGAGTCGGATCTGACTCATAGTGACCCCTCCTTGGGTTTCCAAGGTGGTATCGCTATGGAAGTAGGCTGCCCTATCTTCCTTCCAAGGAGTGGCCAGTGGATTTGAACTACTAGCCTTCTGGTTAGCAGTCAAATGCTTTAGGCACTATGCCAGCAGAGCTCCCAGGGTCACTCTATTCTATTGTTCAGGTCCCCTAAAATGATTACATGTATCATGGGGGAAATCACTAACATGAGTTCAAATACAATAGATGTCCTGGTAGACAAACTTTAAAAGAGAAGTCACATTCAGTTTACGTTCAAAATTGTGATTCTTGTAATACAGTCCAGAAAACTTGTCTACAGTCCTTCAGGTTGGCCAATCTTTGTTTTCACCAACAACCAGAGATAATGCAGAATAAAATGACTGTAGCAAAACAGGTTCTAAAATCCAGGGAAGCCAATTCTTCAGCCTTGCTCCTAGAATCCAGTATTGTGGCATGTAGTCCAGAAAAGTCTAAAAAAAAGTCATCTAGACCTTAATAAATACCTTTTCACTTAACAAAACCCACACAAGCTTACAGCTATCAAGTCAAACTTGTAGGTAAAATTAGCATGTCTATATTTTACTAAGACTGCAAGTCAATTTGTCAAAAATACTTAATGACTACAACCATAGATAGGAGCTCTGGTAGTGTAATGCCTAAGGCACTTGACTGCTAACCAGAAGGCTGACAGTTCAAACTATCAGCCACTCCTCGGAAGGACAGTTTGGCAATCTACCGTAGAGATACTGCCTCGGAAACGCGAGGGGTCGCCATGAGTTGGGTCTAACTTGACTGCACATAACAACACAACCATAGATAGGAACTCTGGTGGCGTAGTGCCTAAGGCATTTGACTGCTAACCAGAAGGCTGGCAGTTCAAACCCACTAGCCACTCCACAGAAGGAAGGTTGGGCAATCTACTTCCGTAGTGATACTGCTTGGGAAACCCAAGGAGGGGTCGGTATGAGTTGGGTCTGAATCGATGGCATGTAACAACATACACTAAAAAAAAAAAAAAAAAAAATTAAAAACCTGGACTTCCTCATCTAAGGATCTGATAATTCTCCCATCAAAGCAAAAGTTCTGCAAAGTGGGGCTTATGATCCTTAGCCGACTGAATTACTCCAACCCAGTGGAAGGAGCCAGAAAAGTAAGGGGTGGGAGGGAAAGGAATCTTAAGCCTCTGCTTTGGACAATTATGAAAACAAATAATAAATTTTAGAAGTTTAAGATCATAAAAGGCAACAAAGAAGTTTATTTAAAGTTTAAAATTATGGAAAAGCAAAAGAGTAAACTTTAAAAACAAAGCACTAGGTATTAAAAATGTTGAACAAAGCAAAAGCTAAAGCAAAAATTTTTATACTGAAATATGACTAAAAGTTTGAAGTAAAACGTCACAATAAAAGACACATACATTTTAAATAGAAAAGTTGAAAGAAAATAAACATGAAAGACTAATTTAAAATTAAAACCCATATGCACAAGAGAGAAACATGAAAGTATGTAGATGATGGAACTAAAAAGAAATTTCGTAAAAAGCATCACCTGTATTAAAAAGTTAACAGGGAAAAAGGGAGAGAACAAAGCAGAGCTAATGCAAAACAAAACAAGCAAGTAGAGGCAGCTGAGGGATTGGGGGGGTAGTTCCTTGATGGTGGTAGGGGGTGCTTTTTTGGCTCCTCGGGAATAAAAAAAGGCTGAGAGCAGGGGTGCTGTCTTCAAGTTTTGCCTTTCACCCAGAGGATCATATCCCTGAATGCATTTGGAGCCCCATCCATGAAGGTGGAGGTGTGGCTTCCTAATTTGGCAACATAAAGCTTAGCAGGTCCTGCCCAGTAGTGAACATGCTGGGAAAGTTCTCTTATTGAAAAGGGTCCCTGTACATTCATACCTTGTCATTTCAGAAACACAATTTGGAAGTAAAATGAAAAGCAAAATCTTACTAAAAATAAGTTATTTATTGCTTTTTAAAAATAAATGAACATTTATAATAATATCAATTTGGATTTAATCGAATGTATTAACAAAAGCATAATATACTAAACAAAGATTTCTAACTTAAGTCAATCAACCACTTTGTTTTAGCCAGGGGCAAACATCAGTCCCTACTACCTAAGCCCCATAAATTCTTGCTGCTTCACATTTAAGGGGAAACTCAACATAGGGATGTATCCTGTACCTCCCCATTAGAAATGCCCTGAAAAGTTACATGCTCAAAGAAAAGGCTGTAACAAGTTACAGCTGAAATCAAAGTTCTACTTTCATTACCTTGGTGGAAGGTACAGTATGGAGGGGAGTGTTACTATTACCAGGTTACATGGAAGAAAGCTGACCATAAAAACAGCCCAGGGTTAGATTTCAGTTATGGAATGTGGTAAGCATAGTCATGTCATAATTCTCTGAGGTTTGGGAGCATCTCTGGTCACATGGCCACATTTTGGGTTGAGAGAGATGCTAATGATGTGCCCTAGGTCGTCCTCAGGTGCCACAATTCTGCCCGAAGACAATGGAAAAGATGGCTGTCGTTTCCTTGGAAGATATTAAGCTCAGGACCAGGAGTAGAGGTAGGGAAATACTGTCAACTCGAGTTGAGTCCACAATTTATCCCACAAAGGCTGCATTAAGCTTGCGTGCGTGTGTGTGTGTGTGTGTGTGTGTGTGTGAGTGTGAGAGAGAGAGAGAGAGGAACCTCAACGAGGCAGTAATAGTTTTGTACCTAAGAGGCATTTCTTAACTATTTCTTTTACTATTACTCTGCTATACATGAAAACAAATTTCTTTAAATTACGATTAGCACTTAGGTCCTATAGTTGAGCATATCATCACACCATCCCCTGTTTTTGGCCTCCATGTAGACAGATGCATTGCACTGTTGCATGGTATATTCCATCTCAATCAGTTGGCGGCATCCAATGGTTAACTTTTCCCTGGGGAAAAAGAAATGTTGTCATTGCAAGGCAGCTGGTTGAATAAACAATAAATCTTAATACAACAGGATAACACTGGAATTTGAAATATATTCTTTGATACCTGAGAAATAAAATACCAGCAAGAATGTGTTCTTAGCAGAGAGAAAACAACATGGGAGACAGCGCTTAATTGCAGACATTTTTGGTGAAGATCTTGGTGCAATTCTTAGGATTCTGGAATAAGGGTTCTCATGACAGACCTGATGCCTACCAGCAAAACTGGGTGTTTAAAAACAGACCTTGGGACAGTGGGCTGGGTTGAACAATTTAATTGTACTTTATGACAGACTCTGCCAGGAGGCAATGGGCTGATGTTAAGCTATTCTGATCTAAGAGGTAAGCAACACACTGTGGAATAGGTTTATTTTTATCTCATTCTGTTTGAGAGTTAAAAGAGGTGGACTAGGAGATGCTAAGAGGATATACCTCCTGACAGGAACAGACAATAGCGGATAGGAAGTTGACAGAACTTCAGCTCTTTAAAATGGATTGCTGGGATAAATTATGTTATTGTGAGGTGCCACTGAGTCAGCTCCAAGTCATAGCAACCCTATGTACAAATAGAACGAGATTCTGCCTGGTCCTGCACCAGCCTCATAATCCTTGCTATACCTGAGCCCATCATTTCAGTCAGTGTGTCAATATAGCTTGTTGAGGGGCTTCCCCTTTTTTGTTGACCCTCCACTTGACCAAGCATATCCTTCTCCAGGGAATGGTCCATTCTGACAACATGAACAAAGTACAAAGTAGGTCAGATGAAGTTTGGCCATTCTTGCTTCTAAGGAGCATTCTGGCTGCACTTCTTCCAGGACAGATTTGTTGGTTCTGGCAGTCCATGGAACTTTCAGTATTCTTCGCCAACACCACAACTCAAAAACATTAACTCTTCTTTGGTCTTCCTTATTCATTGTCCAGCTTTCACATGTGTATGAGGCAACTATAAAGACTATGGGCTTGGGTCAGGTGAACTTAGTCTTCAAAGAGACATCTTTGCTCTTCAGCACTTTAAAGAGGTCTTTTCCAGCAGATTTGCCCAGTGCAATACGACATCTGATTTCCTGACTGCTGCTTCCATGACTGTTGACTGTGGAACTAAGTAACAGGAAATCTTTGACAACTTAAATCTTTTCTCCATTTATTGTGATGCTGTTTATTGGTCCAGTTGTGAGGATTTTCATGAGTTTTTTTTTTTTGAGGTGTAATCCATACTACATACTATAGTCTTTAATCTTCATCAGTAAGTGCTTCAAGGCATCTTCACTTTCAGCAAGCAAGGCTGTGTCATCTGCATATCACAGGTTGTTAATAAGTCTTCCTTCAATTCTGATGCCACACTCTTCTTCATATAGTCCAGCTTCTCAGATTATTTGGTCAGTATACACATTGAATAAGTATGGTCAAAGGATACACCCCTGATGCACCTCTTAAACCGTGAAGTATCCTCTTGTTCTGTTCGGATGACAGCCTCATGGTCTATGTACAAGTTCCTCATGAACACAAGTGCTCTGTAATTCCGTTTCTTCTCAATGTTATCCATAATTTGTTATGATCCACACAATTGAGTGCTTTTGTACAGTCACTAAAACACAAGTAAATGTCTTTTTGGTATTCTTTGTTTTCAGCCAAGATCCATCTGACATCAGCAATGATATCCCTTGTTCTAGGTCCTCTTCTGAATCCACCTTGCATTTCTGGAAGTTCCCTGTCAATATACTGCTGCAACCATTTTTGAATCTCTTCAGCAAGATTGTAATTACAAGTGATATTAATGATATTGTTTAGTAATTTCCACATTCTGTTGGATCAACTTTCTTTGGAATGGGCACAAATATTGATCTCTTCCAGTCAGTTGGCCAGGTAGCTGTCTTCCAAAATTTCTTGGCAAATACAACTGAGTGCCTCCAGCATAACATCTGTTTGTTGAAACATCTAAATGGGTATTTCATCAGTTCCTGGAGCCTTGTTTTTCACCAATTCCTCCAATGCGTCTTCAACTTCTTCCTTCAATACCATTGGCTCTTGATCATATGCCACCTCCTCAAATGGATATAATCGACCAATTCTTTTTGGTACAGTGACTCTGTGTATTCCTTCCATCTTCTTTTGATGCTTCTTGCATATTCAATATTTTGCCCATAGAACAGTTCAATATTGCAACTCAAGGCTTGAATTTTTTCCTCAGTTCTTTCAGCTTGAGAATTGCCTAGCTTGTTCCTCCCTTTCAGTTTTCTAACTCCAGGTCTTTGCACATTTCATTATAATAACTGACTTTGTCTACTCAAGCTGCTCTTTGAAATCTTCTGCTCAGCTCTTTTACCTTGTCATTTCTTCCATTTGCTTTAGCTACTCTCCATTCAAGAGCAAGTTTCAGAGTCTTTTCTGAAATCCATTTTTGTCTTTTTTTCCTTTCCTATCTTTTAAATGACCTTTTGCTTCTTCATGAATGATGCTCTTGATGTTATCCCGTAATTCCTATGGTTTTCAGTCACTGGTGTTCAATGCATCAAATCTATCCTTTAGGTGGTCTCTAAATCCAGGAGGGATATAATCAAGGTCCTATTTTGGCTCTTGTGTACTTGTTTTAATTGTCTTCAGCTTCAACTTGAACTTGCATATGAATAGTTGGTGGTCAGTTCCACAGTCAGCTCCTGGCCTTGTTTTGGCTGAAGATACTGAGTTTCTCCATTACCTCTTTCCACAGATGTAGTCAATCTGATTCCTGTGTACTCCATCTGGTGAAATCCACATGTATATCCACTGTTTATGTTGTTGAAAAAAGGTATTTGCAATGACTAAGTCATTGGTCTTGCAAAATTCTATCATGCAATTTCCAGCATCATTTCTATCACCAAGGCCATATTTTCCAACTACTGGTAATTCTTTTTGTTTCCAACTTTTGCATTCCAATCACTAATGATAATCAACACATCTTGATTGCATGTTTGGTCAATTGCTGACTGCAGAAATTGGTAAAATTCTTCAGTTCCTTGTCTTTGGTGGTTGGAGCATAAATTTGAATAGTAGTAGTATTAACTGGTCTTCTTTGGAGGTGTATGGATATTATCCTATCACTGACAGCATTATGCTTCAAGATAGATCTTGAAACACTCTTTGTGATGATGAATGCCACACCATTCCTCTTCAATTTGTCATTCCTAGCATAGTAGATCATATGGTTGTCTGAATCAAAATGGCCAAAAGCAGTCCATTTTAGCTCACTAATGCCTAGGATATCGATCTTTATGCATTCCATTTTATTTTTTGACAACTTCCAATATTCCTAGATTCATACTTCATATATTCCATGTTCTGATTATTAATGGATGTTTGCAGCTGTCTCATTTTGAGTCATGCCACATCAGCAAATGGAGGTCCCAAAAGCTTTACTCCATCCACATCATTAAGGGCAGCTCTTCCCCAGCTGTATGCTGAATGCCTTCTGACCTAAGGGGCTCATCTTCCAGCACTACATCGGACCATGTTTCAGGGCTATTCATGAAGTTTTCCAGTAATATATCAGACAGTGTTTCACTGCTATGTATAAGGTTTCCACTGGCCAATTCTTTGAGAAGTGGATGGCCCCTTCCTTCTTCCAAGTCTTAGTCTGGAAGCTCCGCTGAAATGTGTCCACCATGGGTGACCTGCTGGTATCTGAAATACCAGAAGCTTAGCCTGTAGCCTCACAGGAACACACAAGCCACCACAGTACGACAAACTGACAGACAAGTGGTGGGGGGATAAGTTATGTAGCAGTAAACAAATGAACATTAGTTAATAACCATAAACCAGAAGTAGGGAAGGTAGGAGTAATGCCTAACTATGCCATACCTACAATTCTACCTAAAGTGAAGCCTAGCTGGCCTCTCAACAGATAATACGGGGTCTACAAATTGTGGGATAATATATATAGGTCACTGGTTAGATCACCAGTCCATCAAACCTGGTGTTGAGTTCAAATCTCACAGGTACCTACTTGAACCTACTAGAAAAGTTCACCAAGAATACCCCAGATCTAGTACAGTAGATGGCACATTTGGTGTTTAACAAATGGCAGATATTTTTATTATTACACTTAGGGATTATTTCTTCCTTGGCTTCTAAGATGACTCTAAGCATCTCCAGTGCTGGAAAGGACCACGAGCTATCTCTCCCCATTGCCTCAACATAGTGAAATCCTTGATGTAGGGCACAAAGGAAAAATAATCAGAACTCAGGAGACAGAATTAGAGGTAGTAGTGAGAGCAAAAAAGCCAATGTACAGTATTTTGTGCAACCTCACTTCCTGAGGATGTGTGGTTCCTCTGAAGCTAGTGGTTAAAATCTGACTTTGGTTTTGTGTCACCATCATTCTGTTTCCTATATTTAGAGAGCCTGAAGCTTGTGTTCTGTTAGTGCCAATTCTTCACAACTACTCAAAAACTGATTTTTGTGAGGTCCTTCTAAGAGATTCAAAATAGCATACATGTTTTCTTGAAAACTTCAAAATGAAACAGCAACAACAGGGCTGGCCCCTATTCCTATCCTTGGTCATCTGTTCCACATGTGCAAAAAACTTCTTCAGTAACTAGACTACTGGATGTATTTGTTTTTTTTTCTCTCCCCACAGTTACAAAAAAGAGCTCTATGTCTTCTTTCATCCTAGTGGAGTTTGGTCACTTTATTCATGAGAGTTAGCATTCCAACAATAGATTATTTTACTATAGGTTTTGTTTCCTGAAAGTTCTGCCACTGCTAACTCAGGAAAATACCATGTGTTTTCCATCATGTTTGGACTATATTTTTATTAAAGCATGATGACTGAAATTTTTGAGTTCCTTTTTCCCCTGGTTATATGCAGAATGGCAGAATATTAGATGTAGGAAGCACCTAACACCTCTACCTGCCATCCTGGAGCATCTTCAGTAAGTCATTGCACCATAGTTTTGACCTCTTGGTTATGGGACACTCAAAACTGTGAG